TAAAACCCATAATTTGACTGAAACTTTGCTAAACATGAAATATAAAAATCTTCTTTTCTTCCCTTTATTTTACCTAACCTGTAATCTCAAAATTGTTTTTAAACCAAATCTGAAAATTAATGGTTAAAATAGGGAAAAACACAAGTTACAAATAACAAAACACATTACATTAGCCATATTCATTAATTAATTTGTAGAAATTAATAAATTATCATTAGAAAAAACTGATTTAAAGAAAATTTCTGAATACCTATTTTAATGTTGTTATATCTCAAGAAGCTCAAGCTGACATAATTAACATTACTGTTATGAGAAGAATGGTTTGTTCTGAATATTGGTGCAAAGTTACATACAATGGATATCTGTGCTAATTTTGAACTGATAGACTGGAAGGAAGGTAGCTAGTGAACAGTACCCATCTTCACCTCTCAGAATACTTTAATTATCACCACTCAGAGAAAGGGTTCATTTGTTAAAAAATAATTTTTTGATAGTGATTAACAAATATGTTTATAACTATGAGAACAAATAAAATTAAAATAGTTTTCTGTATGATAAAGTTTTTAAGTAGAAATCATTGTACCATCTGCATCCTGCACGTTTGCAATATTCCATCTAAGATGTTAATTAAGTTTTTATTTTACATATAAAGATTACAAAAAGAACTAAAAAAATAATGTCTAATATTTTAGCAGTATTAAAGGCTTACCTCCTAGACAAATATAATGTAGATCATATCGTAAATCAACCAAGCAGAGCAACAGCAGCATGGATGAAAAAAGAAAATCGGTGGAATTAGAGCACGTAAAACACACACCATTCGCATACTGTATTATAATTTTAGTTTTTATCACGTAAAAATCAACTACAGTAAGTATAATACTTGCAGTTGAAATATTAGGTATTTTTTAGGTTACACAATAATTAATTAAACCTATTTCACAGTCATGTATTTTGTAGTTTATCTCTGTAGTCAAATTCAAATTGTAGCATTTCTTCTTACGGAGGGTTTTCAGTGTTGAAAATTAATTTTGTTTTCAATAAGATTATAGAACAGAAGGTACATTGTTGGAGGAAAAAAAAGTTAATTTATCTACTGGCAAAATGATTTACTTAAAATAAAAACTCCTAAAACACACTGCAGTTTCAATATACAGTTAATGAATTTATGAACCTTTTAGAATGATACCAGGTCTTAACGACACCATTACAATATCAGAATAATAGGTATTCAATGACATAGTATTTTTTATAGCACACGAAACAATTTCTTACCCAGTTAACTATCTCTTTTGCTCTGCTTTCAAAAAGATGTTCTAGTTTCTGTACATCTACTGCTGTAGGCCTAATTTCATCCCATATTGTCTTTTTACTTAAAAGTTTATTGGCTAACACAGGATCAGTTTTTACTTCTTTCCAGAAAAGCTTGACTGTTTTTTTATTTTTAGAAATAGTCTTTTGTTGTTCTTGTTTTTGTAGCTGTTGTCTTTGTTGTTGTGCTTGTCTAGACCACGGTGGGGGTGGAGGTGCCTGAGAATTATGTTGAGTTCTTAGCGTTGAATATTGTGGAAAGCCAGTGACAGTTGAAGGTGGTGGTGGAGGAGGACGGCAGTTAGGTTGTGAGGGTGAAACTGTACCTAATGGAGGTGGAGGTACAAAGCCACTGCCAGGAGGAGGCGGTGGAGGTGGTTCACCATCTATAGGTAAGATTATGGTATTTTTTAAAATGTCAACTTCATCTTCATCCTTCAGATCTGTAAAATCTAAATCATTGATTAAAAGCGGCCTATTGATTGTCTTGACTAATTGATCCCACTGAATTCCACTCTCTGACTTTCGAGGTTCCAAAATTGAAGAACAATTTTTCTGAGGACTTGTGGGAGTAAGTCGACTCTCTGAGCGAGTACTAGCAGCAAGACCTTCTTTTGCCCTGCTAATGATGCCACTCGAATCACCAAGTCTAGAGAAATTTTCAGACACGGGAGAACGAACATTAGTATCTTGTCTTTCTTTGAATTTTTCTTGCATATCATGCACATTTCCTTCCTTGATTAACTGTGGCCTCACAAGTCCTTCCTCTTTCCTCACGAAAGACAGAGGATGAATAGCTTCATTGATAGGAGAGGTGGGGGAAGAAATTTGTTGAGTGACTGGTTTATTTTCCTCCTCCTGACTTTTTCCATACATCATTGAAAGCATCCATGACTTCTTATTCGTATCACTCCTTGTGTAAGGAGCAGACCCATGTTTCTCTTGAGCAACATCAGTGCAGCTGTTTTGTTTTACTAGCTGAGAAAGAGTCTTGGTTTCTTCTTGCTTTGGCCTTGGTTCTTCCTTAGAGTTAATTTGCGATAGCTGATGATTCTTTAGATTTTCATCTGCTATTCGATTCTCAAAGCGATACTTTTGACGTTCTACTAAGGAACCTAAAAAATAAAGATAAATAATAAATATTTTTCTTACATATCCACAGGTTTCATTTTATGAACTCCACTTCAAGTAACCCACCTCCCCCAAAAAAATTGTCATTAAAGATTTTTTTAGAATGATCACAAATGATAATACTGTGAGTAAGTCTATTATACTTTAATTAGAAACACTGTCAAAATACTTGTTAAATTTAGTTAATATCTCTATTATTACAAACAGCTTTTAACATAATCTGATGTGTATAAAATATGACATTTTGTTTTACATCATTTGAAGTAAATTACCCTAATTTCATCCAATTCTTTAAGATTCTTTCTGAAAACAACATATAATACATACATTTTTCAGGCTTAGCAGTGGAAATGACACTGGAATTATCCCGGCTTCCAACAGAGTCTATACTCCCTACTGAAGACATACTATCTGTTCGTTGATAAATGACTCCTTTGCCATTTTCTTCTTGTTCTTTGATAAGGGTCCGATTGCGGGCATCTCGTTCTCTTCGTTTTTTGAGTGCAGGAGTTATTCCATTTATGTCTATAAGAGTATTAAGAATTAAAAACAAAAGAATTAATACTCTAAGTTTTCTCATGTTTGATATGCACATTTATGTTTTTTTTCAAAAATTTGAAACAAAAATATTTTATACCAGAGCAACAGAAAAACAACAACATGTAATTAACACCAATACCTTGGCAACTTTCAAAGCTGAAAAATGCACAGAATAATATTTCACCAATGCATTTTTATGCCCTGAGTATGAAAATCATTTTTCTCCATGTGGTGTTTTCATGAAGAAATCAAACCCCTAAAGTTGGGAACTTTCACCATTAAGAACTTAGAGAGAAATCCTCACCATCCTTGCAATTAAGCCAGATAGTCCAGTAGTGAAAACAAATATGTTGTATTGTGCAAATTGAAAGATTGAATCTGGTTACTTTTTTATAGATTTTGTGACAAAACTTATTGAATATGTCAAATAAAATACTCTTTATATACAAAAATTATTTTATTTGATAAAACTTTGTGAATAATCACCCAACTTAAGGGCCTGATTTCTCCACAAAAACACCATATGTTAAAAAAAGGCATCCAGATTCAGGGCATAAAAATGCAATTGGTAAAATACTATTTCAGGCATTTTTGGTGGGACAATTACCGAAGTATCTGTGCCCAGGTATCGTACGATTTAGAAGATTTGATCTTATAAGTTTCATTGCTACCTGTGTATGTTTATACTGTGTATAAGAAAATGTTTCTACATTAAGTTAAAAAGTGAATTACTTTA